AGAGCGTTGAATTCTCTGAGACACTTAGATTTTATTATACCTTCATCCCATGTCATGCTCAGGAATTTTCTTATGTGCTTGTTTTCTAATATGATACCTGTGGTGAAGGGCTGCTGAAGTTCCTGTAAGACTTGGACCAATTAATATTGACACGTTGGGGGTTCAAGAAACAGGCAGGTTTTAAAGAAACCTGAAGAAAGAACCTAAAGAAACCAAGCTGCATTTAAGATAATATGATATTAATGACGTAAAGGGAAACTTCAAGAGAGGGAGCTATTAATAAAATGTTTCAACCACCATTTCCTGCAGGGGACATTTAAATATAAAAGACTGTATCGTAATTTACAATGTTCTTGTCAGTAAATAGCAGCAGCTATGACAAGCTACCTGTTAGCTCTCCTGCTCTCTCTAATTGCTGTTATCCTACCCCCGAGATGTAAGTACTCCTCTAAGGATAAAATATCCAAATTCCTACTTCCTCTGGATAATGTGTAACATAATTGCACTTATGTTGCATTTCAGATGGCTGCACGGACATTATTGGAGGACACAAAGTGCGTCCTCATTCCTGGCCTTGTATGGCTGCTATCCAGACAAAGAATTCAACTGTGTGTGGAGGAGCTCTTGTGGGAAAGCAATGGGTTTTGACAGCAGCGCATTGTGAGTAAGTATCTTATACTGGGGCGATTTTAACTCTTCATTGAGGTGGGGCATGGCGTGCAAGCCTGTAAGTAAAGAAAAGTGGTTATTGATTTCTTAAGAATTGTTAAAAGCTGCAGTTCTCTCACTAAACTGATCTAAGAACTTGTCATTCTGTTTTAAGTTGTTTTGTAAACTACTGATCTGCATTGTGTACAGTTACCTTCATTAGTCAGATCCTGCCAGTGTTACAGGATACAGACTGTGCTGATAGAAGACCCAATTCATTATTTGTGCATCTGAAACAGCAGCATCTTAGAGACAGGGATATATTCCAAAGTGCTTTAAACAAATCTTACCTGTGTGCCTGGGACTGAGCCTCAAAACACCCTGAGAGATGAAGCTGAATTAGATGGAAACATGATTCCTCCCATTTTAAGTGACCTGGGCTCAGAAAAACTGAATGTCAGTCATGACTATGACAAGAAGCCTTGTCCTTTTGACAAGTCAAATGTGAGCACAAGCACCCCTCTCTCAGGTGGGGTACCCCAAGGCTGGCACAGCTGTTGAACAGCTGGCTCAGGGTGAGAAGGACATCTACTGTTCACATTAGGAAGTAAAATGCCCATGCTTTTGCTGAAATATTTTCTAAATCATATTTTAGTTTTCCATTTTTTTTCTGTATTTGAGTAACTAAAAGCAAACCAATCACAATAAACCTGTGCAAGTCTGACCTCCTCAAACACAGTGTGGGCAGCTCAGCCAGCCTTCTTCCATCAGTTAGTCTGAAATAGCAGACACAGCTCCTTCTTTCTAAGTGAATTTGACTTCCACACTTCAGCTGAATCAGGTTTGGTTGCATTTCTTGTAAGGGTAGAACAGCATGTGCTGTTTTGAACATTTACAAAACAAAAGCCAAGCCTTCCTCTTTGGAATGAAGGGATTTTTTGATGGGAGCTGGTCTCTCACTCTTGAGTCAATGGGTTAGAGATATCCAGTTATGGTTATAAAAATTCAGATTTGGGAGCTATTCAGTGGAAAGGGCACTGGCTGTATCTGGTCCTGTGGAGAGGACAGCTCTGGTCACTGGTTTGGTTTTCTAACAAGCACATCGGTTTGGGCTAACTTTGAGTCTGTCACTGCGACAAAGTGAAACAATATCTGTCTGGTCTCCTTCTCCTGAGCTGTGTGATGATGCCCATGCAAAACCCACCCACCCCTAGTCTATGTCTAGACTTTTCTTAGCAGGTGCAATTGCAGTGCATGTAAGCCTTCCTAACTAAGGAATATTATGCGATAATCACTTCTGAAATAATTTTTGTCTTAGATAAAGTAGCATGAATCCAGCAACATGAATTTCTGTGTGGCCTGCAAGCAACCTATCAGAGACCTGGATGAAGTTGCAGTGGGTTTTTTTGTTTTTTTTTTTTTCCTCCCAAGCTTCTCTGTATGCAGAGTGGCCGATTGCCTGGGCTTTCTGCAAGTCCAGCAGTTGCACCTCTGTTGGGGATGATACATGAAAGAGTCCCAGGGATGGAGTTTTGTGAGTCTTATAACATTCTCACTGTGTAAGTGTGCTTCATAGATAAAAAAAGAAATTTTTAGGATCCAGCACTGCCTTTGCAGCTATTTTCACAAGCAAACATTCACATACAAATAAATGAATTGTATCTTTCAGTGAGACATGCAGCTAGAATGAAGAAAATAACTTTTTTTTTTGTTTGGATTGATAAAGTCTTTGTTCTGGCTTGAATAAGTTGTCCTGTATGTAGTGAGATTGTGTTCTGAAGATGAAGCACAGGAAACCAGTAGTATGTCTTCTGGCAATGTCACCTTACTGGGCTGCATTAAGTTTAGCAAGGCAAAATGAAGAAAGACAAACTCTAATAAATACATTTCTGATAATACTCAGAGAGCTTGGGGGAGAGGAAGATTTGTGGGAGGCTTAACTCTTTCTGCTTATTAGCAGGAACTGGACATATAACTCTCTTTGGGTCTTGGGAGTTTCCCTTTTTAATATTCACTATAGGGGTGTCTTGAGTTAGGCAACACCCATCCTTCTTCCTTAATGGGCTGAATCCTGTATTTAGTGAAGTTAAGGACAAAACTTTTGTTAATATTAAAGATGTCCACTTTAGTAGAGCACTTACCTGTATGCATAATGCTCAGAATGAGTACTGAGTATTGATATATGTACTGACATCCCACTGATGTCAGCAAGACAACCTACATGCTATTATTAATCAGGCATGTTTCAGGCCTTTGCAGGATTAGGTCCTAAGTCCAAAGGAGACCATTAAAAGATTAATGAAAGGCATCAGCACCAGCAGTCCTTGTGCAAGGGACTCTCCTTAAAAAGCCAGTAGGCTTTTTCATGAAATTAATTCAAAAATCTGGAAATCCCTGAAGGTCAGCTATAACACCATTATTTCACCAAACTAGATTTACAGTAAAGAAATGTTACTTTGTAGAGGAAATTACAAGCTCATGTCAAAACATCGAAATGAACAATATCCTTCCCTATGTTTTAATCATGTTGTTGTAAAATGAAATTGTGAGTATTATGTTACATGTCTTTTGATTATCTTGAGACATGTTGCTCAGTTCCAGTAGTGACCTTCTCTCCCTGTACTTTCTTTAAATTACAGATTGAACAAATCAGAAGTTAGAGTTGTTCTTGGAGCCCATCAAGCATCCATAGCTGAAAAAGAACAGCAGATATTTAAGGTTATGCACTACTTTCCTAATCCTCAGTTTGGCAGGTCTTCCAAGGAAAATGATATAATGCTCCTCAAGGTATTGTGTTAATTCCTGTTGTATTATTATAAGAGGAATTTTGCTGATGATTGTTTTGGCTATTCTTTGATATCGAAGAGTACATTGTTTAGATAGCTTAACAATATCACAGAACACCCTGCTTTTAGTTGTACTAATCCAGATAAAGTTACAGGATCACTGGCACTGTGAGCAGGGATGACATTTCAAGCCCATTCCGTGCTCTAAAACTCTCTTTAACCCACTCACTGCAGCAACCCCTCCAAAACCCCAAAACACATTCTTTAGTAATTTTTCAAAGGCAGTGCTGAAGTGATGTATGCAATGGAGTCTGGGTCACAGCTGTATCCCAAAGGGATACCTTATGCTGGACTAAGCAAAAATGGCGATGAAACTTACCGTTAATTATTTGGGGTAACCACATAAAGTAAAAGTATGGATAATACAGGACATAGATTAATTCATCTCTAGGAGCACAGAGTAGTCACATAGTGAAGAAAGCTCAGGACGCTGCGGAATGAAGCATGGAAAGATATCCTCGCCAACATCATCGTCCTGAATGCCAAAGTGCGGCAGGGCTGTAAGAATTTCCTGCATACCAGCTCCTGCTCAGCCTGGCTCATGCCTCATGTGTCCCTGCACTGAGAACTCCGTTAGTCCAGTGCTGAGATTGACATAGAGGCAGCCATGGGTGTTTTGAATAGGGGGAGGGCAGTCTCTATGCCGGAAACCTGTAGATGGTCAAATGGTTCTGGAGGACATTCTTCCTGGAACCAGCAGTTTCAGTGCTGATCCGAAGTCCTTGAGAAAGATAAGACTTGTACATCATCTTGCCTATACCTTTAGAAATATCATGACTTCAGTACGATGCCTAAGAAATCTTGGATGGATCTTTATTCAGGCTACGCTTTAATGTTAGGCCTGTGATAATGAAGAAATAGCTTTATGTGAAATATCAATATGTATATTTAAAATAATTGACTAGGTACTGTGTATTATGAATATTACCACACTTCTGAAATAATTGGTGGAATTATGTGGAAAAGGAAGTGATGACTTGAACCTGATTTCTAATGTTTAGATGGTATCACCAGTTTGGTATGACAATGACACAGGGAGGAAACTAGCAGTGTCCCTTTCTGGAACTAGCTGGACCATTTACAGACGTCTGTGCCCCCACCGACTTATCACTGCCCAAGCGTGAGAGGCTCCTTCCCCCAGATGTTAGTGACTCACTAACTACTCTCCATCTGCTTCATTGCAAAGGCAGACAGGTTCATTTCACTGGCTTCTCCTGTGGCCACCAGCAACTTATCAGGAGCACCAGGTTATTTGTGAACACAATAACAACATGGATTGCTAGAAATTAGTATTTCTAGAGCTGAAAGTTACAACTCTGTTCCAGAATGACATGGATACCATAAAATCCTTTGTCTCAATTTGACACAGGAGCAGGGATAGCGTTAGCACCAGGGCTCACCTCCCATCTCTACAGTTCTGCTGTAATGCAGTCCTAAGTGACTTGGGATAAACTTTCCATTTTGGAAATTCCCACCAGCACTGACGATAATAAACAGTAAGGATTTTTTGGATGAACTTGTGATTTGCTGGAGTGCCTTTTTTAAAAGGTATAAAGCCAGAATCGTTTAACTGACAACCATTCAGCAACATGTATTGACAGCCTGTGAAATGAATCATGGTGCGGTGATCGTGTGTAAAACAGAAAATGTCTGTTCAGTAGCTGTGAGCCCTTACCAAGCACGTTGAGGATATGTGTTAGTGTTTTGCTATGTTTTCATTTGCAGGCTTAAATTACTGAAGGATGAATCTGTCAGGTAAAGGCCAACAAAACACAGACAGTTCGGATCATTTATGCCTTTTGAATCTCTCAGAGCAAAAACTTGGCAGTCTGAAGAGTTCAAGACCTCATTTTCCCCCAATTATGCCACTGCTGTCATGTCTAATTGGTTATAGCTTTTGTTTTCATCTTTGTTACTGGGTACATTGCACTGTGCTTTGAGACCTTTCTGTGTGTCAGTCAAGCACAGAGTCTGATTTCAATACAGAAGTTCAGTGGCAAGTGAGGTTCTCAAATAGGATATAGACCCAACAGCCTAACTCCTGTGCAGGTTTTTAATTTCCTACTATAATCAATGGGAAGCTAGGCTTGAACTCACTACTGCTGCCATAGATAGGGGATTGCTATACAGACACCAAGAAAATTCTTTTGGATTTGCAAAAGGGCAATTAAGCTCAGGATCAGTTCCTAAATATTGAAAAGTGATTTATAAGGAAAGTACTGGTAAAATGAAACTAAATGCCAATTGAAACTACATTATACTTTCCTTCCTTTCTGCATGAGAAAGCATTTTTTTTTCTTCTTTTTTCCAGCTGAATGGTATTGCAAAGCTGAATAAATTTGTGCAACTTTTGCCTCTGCCTGACTCTTATGAAGATATCAAACCTGGCACAACGTGCAAGGTGGCTGGCTGGGGAGTCACATCAAAATGTGGAAAGCCATCAAAATATCTTCGGAAAACAACTCTTGAAATTGTTGGTAGAAAAAGCTGTGAGAGCAAATATGGAAGTTATGCAAAAATAACCAGCAACATGTTGTGTGCTATAGGGAAAAATAAATTTTCCAAGGGAGATGCTTGCCAGGTAAGAAGCAAAGTTACAAAGAGGAGGGGATGTGCTTTGAACAATGGTTCCCTTTTCACTGGGAACAAAGGAGTGCTAGACACTTAATGAGGCTGACCAGATTCACAGTGATTTTAACCACATTTGTAAGAGACTTTATTGCTGTGAAAAAGAAGCGTTAAAACTTCGAGTAGTTTTAACTACTCGAATGTACACAATGTACACAACAAGATGGAGAGTGTGGGAATTTGAGTCTTGGATTATCTCAGTTAACTTCAGGTGCATTTCTTTAGCTAAGGTGCTCTCCTTAGGCACCACCTGTAGTTATCAGAGAAAAAGAACTTTCAGGGTCTCAATCATCTGATCCTTTCCAGATGTCAACATCTGAATAGCACAGAATTAACTGTACACTCAAAAGTGCTGTTTGGATCTTGCTTTTGGTGTCTTCTGTGCTGAGTCCAGAAAAGCCAATTGCTAAAGAAGTGAGAATTAATCTATACCAACAATAAAAATATACCTTTTGAAATAGAATTATGATAGCACTGTGCTGGTCTACAACATTTACATCAAAGGCTCCCTCAGGCTTTAAAAGCAACGTCTCCTTATACCTCACCCCACTCCCATGAAGTGATGTAAGCCAACTGGTCCATTTCATAGGTTGGAACAGATTAGAAGCAGTTTTCCAAACGTGCTTATGCACTGCAGCTGGCACTGCATGCTTCTCTGGAGAGCAACAAACACACATTAATAGTTACTTCTATTTTGTGTTCTAGGGCGATTCAGGTGGGCCGTTAATCTGTGCCGGTCAATACAGTGGGATTGTTTCTTTTGGAAAAGAATGTGGAAGTAGACACATGCCTGGAGTTTACACACGACTGACTGAAAAATATATTGACTGGATTAAAAAAATAATTTCCCTTCACAGCGATCCATGAGACAGGCAAGACAGTTTTAATGAATACTGTGCTGTGCATTAGAACTAGGTGCTGCTGCTTTAGTGCGCCACCTTTAAATAGTACCTCCCAACTTCACAGCTTTACTAACACCACCACAGCTTTATGAGAACAGTTCAAAATGTTCCCCTTTGTACAGATAACATGTTTACTCATCTTGATACTGACTTTAGTAGGAAACTGCCCCTTAGATAACACAATTTCATAGAATCATAGAATCATTTAGATTGGAAAAGACCTCTAAGATGATCGAGTCCAACCGTCGACCCAACACCACCATGCCCACTAAACCATGTCCCTAAGCGCCTCATCTACCCGTCTTTTAAATACTTCCAGGGATGGTGACTCAACCACCTCCCTGGGCAGCCTGTTCCAATGTTTAACCACTCTTTCAGTAAAGAAATTTTTCCTTACATCCAATCTAAACGTCCCCGGGCACAACTTGAGGCCATTTCCTCTCATCCTATCGCTAGTTTTTTGTCCAATTTGTATTGGACTTCACCTTACTTCTTAGTGTGATAGGAAAGTACTGCTCACCTTATTGTGCCTGGGATGAGGCAACATTTTTGAATGTGTACTTACAGAAAAAATCAATTTCAGACTGATAGTGAATGAGATGTCTGCTGAATGAGAAAAAACAGAACAAAAGCTTTAAGTGTTCAAATATTTTGCTGTGATGTTTTTCAAAACCAAATACTTCAATTCTCCATTACTAAATATTTATTTAACTAAATTCATTTTCAAAGAGATAAAGTATTAAACAGATAAACACTTTTCCAATTAATCTTCCATTATGAGATAGAAAAAAATAATTTTCTCTTTTTTCCTAGATTATTTACCCAATTTTTGGTTTTTTTGGTGATCAAATAAACAAAATAATAATCTCTTCTCACAGCTTGGTTCATGATCTCACGCTTTCAGTGAATGGTCTGTTGAAAAAAGAATAAATACTGATTTTAATGGGAGTTATTATTCTTCTCTAACACAGTGCCTATCTAACATCTGTCAAAACAAACAGGAATTTTGCTATGGATTTCAACAGACTTCTACTAACAGAAGGACCTGCTGTGTTTCTGAAGATGCCTGTGGTTAGCTTGGTGTATTCCCATTATCTTCCAAATATCCTCGAGGTCTTTTTTTGCCAGCAGTTTAGAAGTGACCATCTGCAGGGTTTCTCTGCTTCTTTGGTTATTGCATTAATATGTACTGAATACTGTAAACCTTGGGACGCTGCAGAGGCATGAATAAATAACTCCAACACATCAACATACTGGCTGTGATTATTGACCAGCAGCCGTGTCACTGCGCTGAGCAGAGCAAGCCCTGTCTCATAAAGGCTGTGTGGATAAAGGAGCAAACGGACACTGCAAAGCTGGGTTGGTAGTTGGCCATGGTGCAGTAAAACCTGCTGATGTGGTGTATGGGGACTTGATGCAATTCTCACTGAAGGTCGGGGGAAGACCTTAAAAGATGCCAGTAAGAACTGGCTCGGGCCTGGAACACAGACAGAAACTGGGAAAAACTGGGGAAAAAAAGGGGAAGCGATGTCAAAGTGGAAAGAATAATATACTGCTGTTAACGCTTTTCACCTGGGGGTCTCAGAGGATGTTGCAAACACAAATTAGTCCCTTCTACCTTTGTAAGGTGAACGACAGCAAGGATATTCTTCTGCCTGTCCCACGGGAGACTTTTCACATTCCGCAGCCCAGTAACAACTAATTGGTGTTTAACCTCTCAGAGGCAAAGATTTCACTTGCGCTGTTCATGTGAACAGTGGCTGTATCTCAGTCACTGATGGGAAATAATGAGTGATAGAGTCTGGAAACCATAACCCAGCAGGTTAATTCCAGTTCAGATATTGGGCTTTGTGTGTGTGTGATCTCCTCTAATGACTTTACTTCATTTACAGCATCTTTTTTTCTTTTATGGGTGATGTAGCAGGTGTTACTGCCAGCCCCCCAGGGCACCACCAGGCCTGACTGCCCCTGCCCAGCCCCTGGGGCTCCCCCATGGCACAGGATCCATGTCAACCCCCAGGGTCACCCGCCCCTGGCCCAGCAACGCCGCAGCAGGGCCGGTCTCCAGCTCCCCTCAGCCTGGCCCTGCTCCACCATGGGCCCTGCTGAGCCGGGCCTACCCACAGGCTGATATCCCGGCCTGTCCTTGGCCTGTTCTCAGGGAGGTACAGGAACAGTGAGCCGAGCAGTAACCTTGACTCATTTTCTGTCCATCCTGAGGCAAGCAGCATCTTTATTCCCTCCACATGCAACAGGAGGGAAGTCTTTGCTAGCGTTGAAATCCCTGTGTCTTGAGAGACTGCCTGCCCATCCACCCCTCTGGGTGAGGGGCAGTCTGGGTCACGGAGCGTGGTAGGAGTTTTGCAGTGGGGCTGCAAAATGCCCCGCAGTTCTGCATTTTATTACCACCCGTGAAAGCACATGGTCGAAGGATGACTGGTTCTGCAGCCGGAGGTCCAGGAAAAGGGGAGTATTGGCTAAACAAGGTGACCACCGGTATCACTCACTGCTGAAACCACTGCTGGGCTGGTTCTCAGAACTGAGCTGAAAACAGGAAAGCCACAGACAGTAGCTCCAGGTACGTTACAATTTTACAATAACAGACACCCACAAAGCCTGACAAAATTAAGCTAGAAACGCATTCTTACTAGACTGAGAGGAGCTCATATTCAGCAGAGTTTACTGTAGATCCCAGTTGTTCCCAGCACAGCATTTGCAATTCCACTTTCCTTCAGTAAGAGAAATCTAGTCTTTTGTCTTTTAACCTGTCATGCTTCAACACTAATCTCTAGGTGCCTGTGAAGTGTCCCCTTGCACATTACCTCCCAGTTTCCAAATACTGGCTTCCTGTACCAGACCAGCTCTCCCATACTATCTGTTTTTATCTTTACTGGAAATTTCTGAGTGGATTTGAAGGAGTCCTGCCCCGGGAATCCTTCTGCCCTTGGCCAGGGCTGGGCTCCTATCTACGCTTGCACTTTGCAGCTTGGTCTCTGCTGAGTTGACTTCTCTGTCAGACATTTGCATCTATCTCTGTTTTTACTGAGGTCTTTTAGATAAGCAATATTTCTTAAGGATTATTTGTTGAGAAGTCTGACTTGCTTATCACCTGTCACATAGTTTGGGCACGGAGAGCAGCCCCTAAGGTTGACCAGACCAGGCAAAGACACGACATATGGCACTGACGTGATGTATGGTGCTGATGTAGAGCATATGGTGCTGACATACGGCTGACAGCTCTCCATCCAATAGAGAGGGCTGACAACTTGTATTCACACATCACACAGGGATGCAGATACCAGTTAGCTTTAGTCCTTATGTTCATTCTGCCCTTGTACTGGGCTGTAGTGGCTGATGTTTTGTACTTGTTTGGCCGTACATCTAATGCACTGTATGTTCATTGTGGGAATCTTTTTTTTTTTTTAAACAAACTTCTAGTTCTCAGTACAGAGGGTGGCATTATCTATTGTCAACAACTGTTGTTTCCTGAAAGTATGGTGGTACATTTGGAGCATGGATTGCCTACACAGCTCCTAGTCAAAGTCTTTGTTTCATCTTCTGACTACAGAACTGCCCGCCTGTCTAGCAAGCTGTAAAAATAACCTTCCTTTTGGGCAACTCAGTCTGACATCAGGAAGAAACATTTAGAAAACAGAATTAAAACAAAGCAAGCCATCAGATTTTCAAGATAATTTTCTTGGATACTTGCCAAAGAGAAATAAAGATAAACTCAGAAGACTCCTTCAAAGTCTGAATAGATCAGTTCACCATAGTCAGACAAATTACAGCAAGTCATTTTGTTACAGTCTGTTACATCTTTTAATTATGATTTACTAGTTTCCAAAATTTATCCTCATCTCATTAATGATCTGGCAGATGGTTCAGATACCTCCATACCAATATGTTTATAACCCCACAATCATCTGATGAAGCTATTTTTGGATTAACTAATAATATTTAATAATCAATATCTAGCAGATTGCAAGTAGGTTAAATTTAACTGTAGTCCAATTCAGGGTGGCATCAGTTGCTTCAAAGCCATTGAAATCAGCTATGAAATGTGCATTGAAAGTCAGCCACTAATTTCACAAAGAGTCATCGAGTCTAAAAGCTGTACCAAGACCCACATCCTTGCCATGACAAAGAGGAAACCACAGAAAGATGAGCAAAAAAGCCCTTTAATGAAAAATAGAACAGAAACTTACAGATCTTAGCTACTTCCAAAGGCACAGATTGGATTCAATGTATAAACAATGGAGTTTCACAGGGTTCATTCTTATGTACATTTGTTTGTAAAAAGCAAGAAACTTTGCCCTATTAACACACTCTCACAAAACGTTTATTTCAAGAAAATAGCAAACCTCTCTGCAGCCACATATAAAATTAAGACAAGCAATAATTGAAACAGTGACAACATCAGTAAATGAAAAAAAATAAATGTTACTTTAATCACTCTTAATCACTGCTGTCATAAAAAAATACTAGTCATGAGTATTTAATTACCATTTCCATTTAAATGAATAAATGGCACATGGTTGTTGGTTTAAGTTATCTTGAAACAATGTAGAGGATGTTACCTATCAGGATGTACTGTCCAGGTTCCTTGGAACATCCCTATCTCAAGCTGTCACAAACAAAGCCGCATCACACGTCTTTTCAGCCCCCTTGCTACCAGATAAAAGCAGCTGCATGAAAAGAAGTGGGAGCTCTGGACTAGTGTGTTTGCAAAACCCCTGACATTTTCAGATGGCAATGGACCACACTGACAGTGATGTGGCTTTCACTGATTAAATTCTGGCGCATGCACATCCTGTGCCAAAAGCCACAGTCCTGTCCTAGCACTGGTCTTAACAGAGTTCAAGTAACAAATGGTCACACTCAACACACGATTTTTCTTTGAACTGAGGCTTCAGGCATGCTGATGGAGCACTGTGGAGAAACTTGCACTACTTCCTTTCACTGGGG